GATTTTACTATCGATCGACGAATTTGCAAAGCCTTTACTTCTTACCTAGCACTGCTTTTGATGTTTAATCGCTTGCCTTACTTCTTCCTACTTTTAGCAAATTTTAATTCAGCACAAATAATTATCTACCTGTTCTTAATACGTTCTACGTATTCGATCAGATTTGGACACTCATTCTTGATGACGTTGAGATGATCGTTCTCGTAAGGAGCATATACGATCTGCGCCAAGAATGCAAATAATGTGGCGTCAATCTGTAATTACGTACTTAAACCAAGAACAAAAATTTGTATCTCTCTAACGTACTCGTGTTGGTTTAAATCCAGTGAAATAGTGTTTTGTACCCAAGAATTTGCTTATCGAACGAAGGTCATCGCTTCCAATATTTATTTGCTCTTCACGGCTGTGTTTTCCCATGGCTGACCAAGATAACATTGAGGATACCTGAGAAGGTCGACGATGGCAATAAAAAAAAATTGGAAAACAAGCCAAAGCAAATTTTCTGTGTAAAAACTCACGTTGTTAACATACTTCCTCTTGAAGAAGTAGATCAATATAGGATAGAAAAATCCAAAAGCTTCTTGCGGTAGCATGTCGGCAAGCTAAACAATTTTTTCGTATCTAACAAACCCGTCCCCATGAAGTCGAATTTTTTTCAATTCAAAATTTGAATCCTAAATTTCATACCTGTGATACATTTTCCAATCTGAATATTTGATGTGATTTCGCCAACGAATCATGCGCCATTTCTTCAAAGGCACGTGATAAGGCTTTTTGTTCATCGTGAAGATGATCTTCGAGTTTGATGTCCATGATCTTGGTAAGATCCCTAGAATCAGCCTTTCATATAAGACGACTGTTTATTTGAAGAACAAAAGAGGAATCTGGACTCGCCCAGACAGGTGAGTGGACCAATCAGCGTCCTCAAGTGCGGTTGAGGATACGATATGGGAGAAATTTCAAGGTTGGCTTTTTTGACCGCACGAAATTCATACAAGCTGCTTTTTCGGCGAAATTTGGTAGGCTTCCCAATCAGTACAAATTCATAGATATTGCATAACTCGCTTGCATAAATACGATAAAAATAATGTCCTCCTCCCCAAGAATAGGTCATGAAATTTTTGAAAGTTACTTAAACTTAAATGAGTTATAACAATATGCAAGCGACTTGTTCATATTTGTAAATAATCCAAATAACTGGAAACGTTTGAAAACTCCAAGTACTTTTAAAAAATTTCTCGGGGCGTTGGAACAGCCATTTCCTAATGAGAATATGTGTCCGTAAAGATTTTGTTGCATTACCCCATTTGAGAGTTCTTGGTTAACGCTGCATCTTTATTGGTAAAAATTTTCTTTTGCCAACCCCCCACCCCCGAACACAAGTCCTAGGCTGCCACTGTGATACTATAATGGAAAATTGTGCCACCAAGGAAAACAATCGAGCACTGATTTATTGATTTTTTCAATACAAAAATAATGACAATTGATGAAAACACATGCTCTTTTCGAATGAGTCAAACCATCTTCAAATTTGGGAAAAGTGAAAGCGTAAACTCTCAAGACAATCATTAAGTAAAGTTCTTGTGCCCCTATTTTCTTCTAAAATGGTCAAATTTTGACAAAACAAGTTACCATCTCCTGATTATTTATGGAAAATAAAAAATTGGTAGCCTGATAGACTATTGGAGATTTTTAATTATAACTTCACTACACAAACTCTGATAAACGAACCGAATGATGAACGATGAATCTGGATACTCGACACCTTCATATTCGATAAATGGTAACGTTCCCTCTTTCGATCGTGGCGACAGCAAGCATGGAATGTTCTGGAAAAAATTGCAAGCATGTCTTCCATCGTAATCACTGTTCTACATTTGCTCGTTATCGTTAATCTGTTGACATTAGGGCTTGTCAGTGCAAGCCAGTAGTATTTACACAGCAAACAAAGATAGGAGAGGTTATGGGTTGCAATGCAACTAGGATTTTTTTGAGGAAACGATATTCATCGTGGGAAAGATGAAGTTAGAAAAGCATTTTCTCACCTCATATGGAATTTCAGCCATGCGAAGCCATGTCTCGACTTTTAGACACGGTGCCGAAAAACTTGGCACAATTTTCGTTCGTGGGAATTGATACAGATAGACAACTCCTAAAATAATGGTAGTACGGTAATTTTTGAAAAAGTATTTGAGTAAATTTGGTTATCCGGGTTTTTCACAGAAACTAATTCTGTCTAAGTAAGTCTCCTGGCACCTCAACACTCACTTTTTAGGGGAAATAAACTAAATTCTCGACTCTCGCCCGTACCGTAATCTCTCCCAGCTCGTGCGCCCCCGAGTGCGGTACTGGGCAGGAGTTTGGAGATCAATTTCTCGGCCGCGAATGTATCATAAGAGGTGCCACTTCGGCAATTGCTTAGTTGAATTCTCCCAAACGTTTCCAAATAAAGAAAACCCAGATATTTAGATTTGCCTAAATTAGTTTGTTATCTATACTCCCACTTACCGCTCTTCCAGTCCTCCTTTATCGGACTTTTCCTTGGCTTTGTCATTAGCCATTTATAGGGAATATAAATTATCAAGGCTAAACCACCAGCTACAGCGGCCTTCCCCCAATTTGGCAATGACGACAGCTGATTGGAAAAATCCTCCAGGCTTGACATACTGAAAATGTAATGGATTCAAGTGAAATCTGATAGGATTAGTGAAGGGAAGAAAACGATCGATCGGAGAGCGATGAAAAATTGGTACATGGATACTAATCTCGAATCACATAGAAGTGCCAACAAGAAATTTTCGAAAAATATAGTTTGAAAACTCAAAACCTATCAGCGAAATAACAAAAATTACCAAGAAAGCTGCTCCGCGAATACACAGAAAATTGACATGAAGGGAAAATAAAGCGGATGGCTACACCACAAGTTAGTCAAACAAAAAACTGAAGAAGAAACTCCATCCTCCTATTTAGAAAAATATAAGCGCTGGAATATGCATGATTCATCATTCGTACTCAGAGTGCTTGCTTCGAATGCTGACTCATCCGTGGGCCAGAAAACCGCGCAATTCATAGACGAAAATGACCCAAACAAAAAATCGTCTAAGCTTGACTGTAGTAATATGGGGCTGCACTTTCGCATTATTATAGTGTACAGAGATATTTGTCTGCAAGTAGCAGTAGAAGACCTTGCACTTCTGCAAGTTTTTTCCTACTGGCTGCAAGTCTATGCGAAAGTTAAAGATAAAATTTGCACTCAAGAAATAAATAGTTCTTCTGAATTTTACCTATCCGCTCCAGCTGTTCATAGAAAAGACAAGATCTCTACGATTCACAAAAGTAAAGTTTACAATGATAAGGTATTAGTGAGTAGCGGTAAACAAAACTTACTATGGTAAAGTCAACATATTTGAACTGCGCACAACACAATGTTGTTTAAAAGTATATACCCAAATAATTTGGAAACATTCGATTTTCTTCTTGAAGAATAATTTAGTAAAGAGTAAAATCGTCGCTACTTCGTTGGAATGAACAAAAATTTGAATATTTTGTTATGTTGCTTTGC